CAGATAAGATATGTATAGGAATAGCTTCACTATCAATTGAGAAAACCTGAGAACTCAGAGGAAGAGGACTTCCCGGTGGTGGGATGGGGACACACAGTTGATGTTGGCCTTGAAGGGTAGAGAAGATGCACTGAGGCCCAAACAGCCTAGTTGAGAGACCTTCAAAGTTTCTCAGCCATGAATGACAATAGAACTACCTAATGTTAGTTGGATTGTTCAGTTGAGACAAGGGTTTGTGCCAGTGACTGTCAACTCTGCTTTTCTTGTGATGGCCTGTGAACTGTTAGTCAGTGATTCTCAGTGGAGCTTAAGAAGCATTGGGTGTCTGTGTGAAAGCCACCCCCTGCAGTATGTATCGAGTATATAAATTGAGAATATTGAGATGGGAAAAGGAGGACAAACGCTGGTCTAAATCAGATGGTGTTCTGGAACGTTCAGGTAAACCATTGACCAAGGAACCAGAGAGACAGGGAGACATTTTCTGGGCACTTGGGCTGCTGCCGCTCCACTCCCGCCTCCTTTTCTGCTTGGGTGCAAGGAACATGAAAATTAAGAAAGCACTGAGGGAGACCAGCAGTTAGTGTAGTGGCTATGTCGCTGGACTCCCCCGTAGTCGACCACGGTTCGCGTCCCGGACCCAGTGGCTTAAACTCACGCCCGGCGGCGGGGGCGTGTGTGCCCAAGATCCCAAGAGGAGAATGGAGGAGAAGGGATTGCAGCATGGCCATCCCCCCTGGGGGGTGACTTCTCGCTTTCTATCTCTCTGTCTCTGTCTGGCGAGCGAGCGCACGCGCCCTATAGCAAAAACCTCTTCAAAAAAAAAAAAAGCAAGCAAGCACTGAGGGGTGTAGGACTAGTGTGGCAGCAAATGGGCTTGTAGAGCCCCTGCCCCAGATGAACTCGTGACCCTGCCTCGGAGGTGACTCTATTAGCAGCCCAGCTGGCTGGTTACAAGCAACTTGGGTGCTGGTGTTGGGGAGACCCAGACTTACTTCCTGGCTCTTCTGAATGAGCTCTGTGACCTTAGGCACTCCATGTGTGCGCCTGTGACCTCATCTCAAAACGAAGATGACAGTGTGTACCGCTTGGTGTCCTTATGAGGATTCATCGACCTACATGCTCGAAAACTTTTGCTAGTACAGTTGACCTTTGAGCAACACGGTTTGAACTGCATGGGTCCGCTAACAAGTAGATTTTTTTTTGCAATGACTATATGAGAAGTACAGCACAGTACCATAAGTGTATTTTCTCCTCCTTACGATTTCCTTAATGACGTTTTCTTTTCTCTAGCTTACTCAGTTATAAGAATATAGTATGGGGTACACCTAACATACAAAACACATTAAATTATGTTATTTGTAAGACTTCCAGTCGACAGTAAGCTATTGGTAGCTTTTGGGGGATGTCAAAAGTTATATTTGGGAAGCTGGATAAGGATGCAGTGGTAAAATGTGATGCTCTGCAAGGCAATCCCACATAGGAAGATTCCGGGTTCGAGTCCAGAGACCTCCTCAGGTATACCAAGCATGCAAGTGCCGGTGATCTGGGACTAGCTGAGAGCTGGGAGTGGGTTGGTGTCCAGGCCCTATTGGGGGCGCATTCGCTCTCTGTCACCAATAGAAGAAATAAGTAAGTTAATGAAAGTTACACATGGACTTTTGACTGTGCAGGGGTTGACACCCCTAAGCCCCCCGCCCACAGAAACATCGTACAGGAGTCACCTGTATGTATTATTGGCACCTTTGCTTCTGCCAGATCCAAGCCTGGTCCTTTGGGTACCACGCAGATTAAAGTTCTGAACCCCTTAGAGCCTGGATTTAAATATGAATATCTGTAAGGCCTGAGGGGGCCTGTGTTCCCCTTTATCTGCCTCCATGCCCATTCCTTCCAGGAAG